TTTGGCAGAGTATATAAAATTAGGTTAAAACTCGCCAGGGGTAAAATCGTCATTTGGTGTTGTTTGGGCTTCAAGTTGGCTTGTCTCGCGAACTGGTCTCCGCGCCTTCGGCATCGATCGATCATGCTAGGTAAACATCGCAGTAGTTTCTTCACGAATTTTGCATCTTCATATTTTTTACCTAAAACTTGTGCTTCATTGCCTATGGAGCTCAACTTGGCACTGAAGTCTCTTATCTTCTCATCATCAGTCATCCTTATGTTTTCAAACTGTGATGCAAACAAGTCCAATCTTGTCCTCCTAACATTCGCAATACACTCAAAGGTGTTTTGTAGTATATCCCAAGCCTCTTTAGCTGATTCACATCCTTGTATTAGCTCAAATGGCTTACCATTTACAGAATTGAAGATTGTATCCAGTTCTTTCGCATTAAACTTTGAAAGATTTTTCTCTGTTGCAGTCCACTTTATCTTTGCTTTAGGAGTCTACAAACCATCTTCTAACATCACATATGGTTCTTCCTATCCAGACTGAACAACTGTCCAGATATCTTCTTTAGTTCCACGTAAGTTTGCTCTCATTTTCACTTTCCAGAACTCTTCTTCGTTTAGGTGTCCTGCTATGATACCAATTGTAGAATCGTGATACAACGAAAAACACAAGGCACAAAGTAATTCCAAAAGAACTTATCTCTTATTAGAAATTCTTTACACAATCTCTTACAGACTTGTTTGATCCGAATTACACGACTTGACATAGATCAATTCCTAACACACCCAACTTGCTTGATTCAATACCTTTTGATCAAGTCTACCAATCCACTCAGCTATAAAACCCCAAAACCATTTGTGTTTCCCTCTGAAATTACAACGACAAAAACCCTAATCCCAAAATTAAGTAAAAACCGAGATATATATTAAATAATCTTTTCCAATTATCTAATATATTATTTTCCTATATTTTAGCATCATAAATCTTCTAATTTCGTCAACCAGCGATATGGAAATCTTCCACATCATCGCATTTTGATGTTTCTTTTTTATTCTCCGAAGCGTGTGTAACACATTACTCTCCATGTGTAACACATGTACATGAACCAAAACTACACTACTGCAACAACTTCTCAAACTCCAAGTTTTTGAGTTTACAATATCCAGGCCCGGCCCAAGGCATGTGCTGGAAGTGTATTTGCACATGGCCCGTTATATTTAAAAAAAATTTAAAATCCAGATTTGGACCCATTTTGTTTAAAAAAAACTTTTGTAAAGGAAAAAAAGTCCATTTTCTTATTTTTTGTAGTAAATGATTCAAAAAGTTTTAGCTCGGGATCCAAATTACTCTTGAGACGGGCCTGACAATATCCATGAAGCTTTCACCGGCTAATCTCTTTAGAATCATCTAAGATATTGAGACTCAATCTTCTTATTTTAAGTTTGTATATTTCAACTTCATTCTTAGGAATCAAAACATTTTAGTAGACTCTGTAGCCAAATTTATACTGTAACAGTTGATTTTTGTCTTCTAACTAGTTTTGTTTGGATTTTGTTATGTTTTTTGACACTGAAAATTTTTTATATTCCATATAGTAGTTCGACAGTACAATACCGTTTTATCTTTATCATAAAGGTACTAACAGATACAATCCAAATTTACATAGATCCACGTACATCAATAGAAGCTATGGTAATTGATAAATTTCCAAAGAGAAATGACACATTTAGACCTTAACAGAAACACAACAGTGTCCTATGATGTGAAAGAGAATAAACCAAACATCGTTGTATGTGTCTCATCAGCTTCTCTATTCCACTGATAGTTTGAGGTTGTAGAGCATATTGTGAGACAACGAACATATATAATCCACTCGAACTTTATATAAGCATTTCTAAGAATTAATTAACCAAAAAAAATATTAGTTGTCTATTTTTATAGCTATTTCGAGGAAATATTATTTAACCTAATTATATAAACGCAAGAGACCCAATTTCTACCGATCAGCAATAATTATTTTGGGCTGGGCTTTTAAACTGTTAGCAATTATATCAACTTTCTTGAAAGATGACATTTTTTTTTTCTTTTTTTTTTTTGAAAAATGACATTTCATTTCATCGATATTGGTCTTTTTATTCTCGTTTCCGGATAACGCTTATCACATTTCTAAACATTTAACTCGTACCAAAGGTTTAATCTGTGTATTCAACTCCAATCACACCCGCAGGGCTGCAGCCATTACCGCGTCAACCATATGATCATGCAGAAGTACTATACTGGTTGGCGCATGTTATATACAATTCTGTTTTTCTAGAATTATATAGTTCATATGGATCATTATTGTCACATTCTTTTTGCTTGTAGTTCGGGGTTGTTTACGTGCTGGAATTAGCTGTTGGTGGGGACAATCTATTTTGTCGTAATTTTTTACCATATAATTGTCTTAATTTATGCCCAGTCCTTAATCTACGTCCATTGACAAATTAACATATAAAATAATTTAATGTGAACATATGTAGGTGAAACTTGTGGCCCTCTTGTAACAAATTATATATTAATATGAATGGTCAACACAACCACGTCGATATAAATCTTTTAGGGGATACTAATTAGCTCATAGTTAATATGTATATTTGGCTTGGGTTCTCAAACTACACAATATCAAGTAACACCATTTTTAAGCAAGTAACGCACATATCTTCACAGAAATTCAGTATTTGACCGGTTCAGTTTTTTGCTGAATAGTAGACTAACTGATCGGGTTAAAAAAACAAAAATTAACTTCAGATTTTATCCTATCGGATTGTATAACCGCACCCAAGAAATTAAAATTTGAATATACTTCAAGAAAATGAATTGTGCAAGTTATAGCGTCAAGTTGACTCAAGTATTTTTTATTCTTGATTTATTTACATGAACCTGAAATTGAGTCGACAATTTCTAAAGAAAAAAAAGAGAGTCAAGAACCGATATACAAACAAATATTTTTTTTCTACTAGTTGCCGTTTCATAACATGCTATTTAGAACACAAGCAAGGTTTTTTTTTTTTTTTAAATAAGCATCCGTTGTAAAAGTAAAACTTTCCAAGCGATAAAAAATACACGTTTCCAAAAACAAAAGCAATAAGTTTGGATTCTTAGTCCGAGTCAGGTTTGAGCGGAGTGGTCGGAAGCTGCAGAAGCCGTTGTTTTAAGGTTTGAAGGTGCCTTTCTTTCGGTAGCTCGTGGTACTTGGCTCTCTTCTTCAACTTGTCTCGGTTTCTCTTGATCCTAGCCTGTTTGGTTGTTTAGCTGACTTTAGGCTTGTTCTACCCAGTGGCGGACGGAGAGAGGGAGTAATGGGATTACGTGACCTCGTCTACTTTTTGTAATTTTCAAAAGAAATAGCTTGACATTTGTACAATGCTCCCAATCCAAAAAATTATATATAGTGAAAAATCTGCGGGTGACCCCGATTAAATTTCATCCTATATCCGACCCTGATTCTACCATTTCTACGGGGCTGGGTTCTTTACCGTATTAGTACATGTTTGTTTAGTTTAAATTTTCTTATTCTGCTACAAGTTTATCTTTATAAAATCTGTCATAAATTAAAATTGGTATAAAATTTTAACATTTTACCAAAAAAAAGCAATAAGTTTGAAAAAGTACATACTTGTTTTCACTTGATACGAATGCAACCGAAACGTTTGCCATAACTAACCAAATCAAACTGAATGTACCATAATTACCAGAGATCAGTTCGATTTAAGTTAAGACATTTTCCTCTTAGTGACTGCTTGTCTTACCAGCAAATTAGAAATTCTCAGTCAATATAAAATAAAACAAAAAATAAATAACGAGAACTCCTTTTGGTCATGTATTTTAATTTTGTGTTTTGACATTCTAACGTTTTCGTCGGGCTAGGATATGAATCCTATCCACTTCGTAATGTGAACTACATTTATTCTAGTTATTTTATACACGCCGTTTGGTAACGTGGAGATATTTATTACAAATACTCCAATAAAAAATCATTTTAAGATGTACTTCTTTTTTTTTTGACTGAGATGTTTTTGTTACAACGGAATGTGAAGAAGATTTGTATCACTCAACCGTCACCTCTCAGAAAAATACTAATATTTATACACAAAGCAAGGCAACACAAATCTTTACATATTTCAATATATCAGGAATGTAAGAACATTTATGATATAATTAAAAACGATGCATTATCGTTCATAAACTCTAATCATATATTAATAGAAAACTATATTCATATATCATATTATATGTTGACTAACATTACATTGTAAACGATTGAAGCGGCTAAGTTCATACGAGAGTAGTTTCATTATCTTTTTGTTAAAGAGTAGTTTCATTATCATTATGTACTATTGAGGTTCTTATTATTTATATAAGTTAAATAATATATATATACGACCAAGATATCATGAATTTAAGAATGTCTATCATACCATTCGAAATGATGCATTAATCGGTCATAAAACTATATCAATATTTTTTTTTGGCTACTTTCAATCAATATAAATGTCAGCTATGACATATAGTAAGCGATTGAAGTGGGGGTAAATTTGCATGAGAGTAGTTTCTTTATCATGACGTATTATTGATATTCTTACAATTTATAAAACAGAAACAAGATTTATACATATTTCTCATGAATTTAAGAATATATATCATACCATTCGAAAATAATGCATCAATCGGTCCTAAAACTATATGTATATATTATAGTATACGCGTTTATTATGCTGAAAAAATATCATATATATATATATGCTGACTATGACATATATATAGTAAACGATTGAAGCGGCTAATTAGTTCATACGACAATAGTTTCATTATCATTACGTATTATTGAGGTTCTTATTGTAATAGAATTTATAAAACAGAAACAAGATGAGAGTATATGCTTCTTTGGATTCCAATATGTAGTTACGTACGTTGACTTTGAGATATAATTTGGTCTATAAGTAGAACACGCATTTTCTAACTTTGAGGTATCTTATAGTCAGTCTACTTACGTCAAAAGTTGTAAGCATCTCTTTCTTCAGTCGCTCTTAAAACCCAGGAGCCTCATCAGAAACATAAAGGTTAGTTAATTTTTAAAAGTTACCACCAAGTGTTGGAGTCTCTTTTCCTGTATATTTCTTTAAAGTTACCACCACGTGTTCGGGATCAAACTACTTCTCCGTAAGTCCACGCTCAAATACTGTAACTAAAGTATAGGATCAAGTAGATGGATTGTTCGAGTTCGCGCAGAACAAATCAGATGTCAGAAAACATAAACGAAGTTAAAATTTCTATAGACGTTTTCAACTAGATAATCGTGAGTCTTTTTTTTTTTTTAGATAATCGTCAGTTCTTATGCCACAAACGTTAAACTCTCTGTCTTCTTATGGAACGTGAAATATAAGTTAATATATATGATATATATTAGCTGTAATGCTTGTTATTGCCTTTGTAGATAAACTAGAAGAAAGCAAATGGCTGATAGTCAACAGTTAGGAGTGCTAAAGGCACTCGATGTAGCTAAAACACAGCTGTACCATTTCACGGCGATTGTTATCGCCGGAATGGGTTTCTTCACCGATGCCTACGATCTTTTCTGTATCTCATTGGTCACGAAGCTGTTAGGCCGCATCTACTACCACAAGGACGGAGCAGCTAAGCCGGGAACACTCCCACCAGAAGTGGCGGCCGCGGTCAATGGTGTGGCTCTATGTGGGACACTTATGGGTCAACTTTTTTTTGGGTGGCTTGGAGACAAACTAGGCCGGAAAAAAGTTTATGGAATCACTTTGATTATGATGGTCGTTTGCTCTGTCGCATCCGGTCTTTCCTTTGGAAATAGTCCCAAAAGTGTCATGACCACTCTTTGCTTTTTCAGGTACTTCTTGAATAATTTGATTTACGAAAAGGCTTTTAAATATGTATAATATCTTTATAAAATTTAGATACTAAAAGCTGGAAGTTTTTCCGAAACTTAAGAAATATATTATACATTTTAAGAATATCTTACTAAATTTACATATAATTCAAATTCAATAAAGTATTCATAAATACATGTTGAAATATCCCATTATGAAAGTTTTCATAAATTTTATGAAGATTTTATAAAAAATTATCAGTACCTTCCCAAATTTTAGGAAGATATTATACTTATTAAAAGATGTCTTCATAAACCCAAAAAATTGAACAAAAAGCTTTGAAATATTTTTCAAAAATAAAAATTTCATTTAAAAAATAATTATTAAACATTTATTTAATTTACTATTTATGTAAAGTAGAGGTATAGTTACTCTTAATGAAATCTGTTTTGATCATTTTGACTACTGAAAGCTATTTTTGTGATAAATTATTTTTAGAGTTATCATAAGGTATTTCTTTTATTAATAATTTCAAACACACTCGAGTATAATAGATATCTAAATTTAACATTTCAAAAAGCTATATTGAAACGAAACAAATGTAACATGAAGAAGACAGTTAGTGTTTTCTGATACTGTAAAATAATTGGATTGATGTAAATTGTGAATTTTTGACAACTTTGGAAAAAGGTTTTGGCTTGGAGTTGGTATTGGAGGTGACTATCCACTCTCAGCAACGATCATGTCAGAGTATGCAAACAAGAAGACTCGTGGTGCGTTCATCGCGGCCGTGTTTGCTATGCAAGGATTTGGGATCTTGGCTGGAGGCATTGTTGCGCTAATACTCTCGAGCATTTTTGATCATCAATTCCCATCACCTATCTACAGTGTAGACCCTGTTGGCTCGACCGTACCTCAAGCTGATTACTTATGGCGTCTCATCCTTATGGTGGGTGCTCTCCCCGCGGCTATGACCTACTACTGGCGAATGAAGATGCCCGAAACTGCTCGTTACACTGCTTTGGTTGCCAAAAACATCAAACAAGCCACACAAGACATGTCTAAAGTCTTGCAGGTGGAGCTGGAAGCTGATGAAGAAATTGCTGAAAAGGTTGTTCAAGATCCAAAGCTTAACTATGGCTTGTTCTCCAAGGCTTTCCTTAAACGCCATGGACTTCCTCTCCTTGGAACTACTTCGACTTGGTTTTTGCTTGACATTGCATTCTACAGTCAAAACTTATTTCAAAAAGATATATTTTCTGCCATTGGATGGATCCCTGGTGCGGCTACAATGAATGCCATCCACGAGGTTTACAAGATTGGTAGGGCGCAGACTCTCATCGCACTATGCAGTACCGTCCCTGGATACTGGTTCACAGTCGCGTTTATTGACATCATGGGAAGATTCGCAATCCAAATAATGGGATTCTTCTTCATGACCGTGTTCATGTTTGCTATAGCTTTTCCTTACGACCATTGGATCAAACCGGACAACCGTATCGGATTTGTCATTATTTACTCCCTGACTTTCTTCTTTGCAAATTTCGGTCCAAATGCAACTACATTTGTTGTTCCCGCTGAGATCTTCCCAGCTAGATTGAGATCTACTTGTCACGGGATATCAGCCGCAGCAGGAAAGGCGGGAGCCATCGTGGGGGCGTTTGGATTCTTATACGCAGCTCAGTCAAAGGATAAGACCAAGACAGACGCAGGATATCCACCGGGTATTGGTGTCAAGAACTCATTGATCATGCTTGGTGTAATCAACTTTGTTGGTATGCTCATGACGTTTTTAGTACCTGAATCCAAAGGAAAGTCTCTTGAGGAGCTTTCAGGTGAAAATGACAATGATGAGACTGCCTAGTCTGTGGTTGATATATACCTCCGGAAGAAACTAAAGTCTCTTTAAATATGAACCAAATGCTATAGTTATTTCGTCCATTTGATTTCCTGTAAAATTTGTTGTTTATCTTTTTGTGTGAAGAAATCATAATCTAATAAAGATTGTTGAATCTGAATTCTGCCTATCTAAATATAACAAAATTCGATGGTGAATTTAAGAAAATTTCGTGTTGATGAAGTCAAAATTCGTCAATAGCTATTGGAAACTAGTTTTTTTTTTTTAACACTAAAGGATTTATATTCAAGCAAGGATCAATTACATATTCCGGCGTTTACTACAAAACAAGGCAGAAACATAGCCGATAAACCAAACAAAGGTTCCCGGAGACAACAACCCACACATGGGAGACGCAAGGAGAAAACAAACAAAGAACCTTAACTTAACAATCTAAACAAGAAAAAACGAGAACCAGATCAAAAGAAACCCAAACACAATGAGAATAACAACCACTTGCGACTCCTCCTATAGTGAATAGCTACGCAATTAGCTAGATACCAAAAAAATGTTTTAATCAGCTGAGGAAGAAAATATGTTTTATTATTATAGCCAAAGTTTTATAGGGCTGGCTACATATCATTTAACAAGATATCAAACCATTTAAGTTCACTATAACAGAAATAAAATCGCCGGATTTATGTTTTTATGAGAAAACAAGGTCTTTTCGGCTTTGTATACTAAGAAGTGTCTGATTTTGACTTTTTTTTTTTGAAGTGTCTTCTTATTTATACTAATTTTAGATCTGCCTTTTTCTTTTTAGTTCTTTTTTTTATTGTAGGTCCTTTTTTAATGTGATTTAATTTGTTTTTTTGTGATATGGACTGATTTGATCAGGTTTAGGAGGAAGACAATTATTGCTACAGAACAGGTTGTTTACCACGCTACGTCATCTGAATTTGGAATGTGTTCCTACTAATGTCATATTACATCCCACTATGTTAACAATTTGGGTCGAGGGCCAAACCTATATTGGCTAAGCAGTCATAATTTAACTTAGAACTGAAAGAGTATACACAAAACCCCAAAAAGTTATTACTAGACTACCACTACTTCTTTACTTCTTTTTCTTTGCTGACTTCATTTTCCTTGCAGGCTTTCTATTTTTTTGAATGGATTGATCTGACTATATTAAGGTGTCAAACAGATATCTCGGGCGGGGAGGAGTGTCCAGGGCCGTAAAAGGTACAGACGCAGGCTGTCTCCGGGCTGGGGGGGATTAAGGCCCGAACCCATCCCGATTTACAAAAAAAAAAAAAAAACAGATATCTCCATATTGGTAAACATTTGTTTGTCTTAGCCTTAAGCTTAAAGATATAAATGCTATTTATAATTGACAATATAACTGCCTGTCGCAAAATTGCATGTAGAGAAGCTGATTGTCCCTCAAAGACTGCTGATGAGGACATGTCTCTTCTGATCTCAACAAGACACAAACATTCAAAGTAAGTAAAGGTACTTGCCCTAGCTGGTGCTGACTTGTGTAGTAGAAAATTGAATCATGCTAGGTTATCGGACTCTTGATATTGCTTGATCGTCACTAGAGTTATAAATTAACTTATAAAAATATTATAAAACTTGACCAATAGTAAATAAGATAATTCAAAAAATTTAAAATTAACATTAAAAATACAAAAATACCCTAACAACTAAACCTAAACTCACGGCTTCCAAGTTTCTCACGACTTATTTCGTGAGTTAAACTAAAATCAAACAAAGAAACTTGAGAGAAGAAGAGGCGATGGATCCCAATTTCAAGCTACTGGATACTTGTGAATTTGCGACTTATGATCCTAATTTCAAGCCATTGAATACCTGTGACCTTGAGACTCAAGGACTGCTGGCATCTCTTGACGCTACTGCTGAGGCTGAGGATGAGGATCTCTGTTCGGGTGGAAAGAAGCAAGAGCGGAAACGGAGGCTGATAAAAGTTGGTTCTGATGATGATGAAGTTGATACTGATGTCGAAATCACAGCTCCTCCAACTCAACCCTCCCACCCTCGCAAGCAAATTAGTTTCTCAAAGAAACCCATGACTCAGTCATCAATATCCAGTGGATTTGCAACCTCTTCAAAGGCTACTCAAAGCAAGAAGAAGCCGAGTGTTGCTATAATACGTGGAGGAAGAAGGTCTTCAAAGCCGACTCCAAATAATTGAAAGAAGAAAACTTTGGAGTCTAAGCAGCCAGTGGCTGGTGAGGAATCTGAGGATATTAATGTGGGTGATGATTCTGATGAACCCAATTTGGATGACAATAAGAGGGAGAGTAGGCAAAGGTCTAAGGTTTGGAATGATTTTGTTGTAACCCAATGGCGAGGAGAAGGCTAAATGCATTCACTGTAAGAATGAGTATGCCTGGAGCTCCCACTCGCATGGAACTTTGGCATTCATAAGGCATAGGCTGAGATGCAAAAAGTATACAAGGATGAACGGCAAGATGAAGCTCGATGGTGAAGGCAAATTACAACCTCGCAAGTATGATCATCTTGTGTTTAGGCAGTTGGTAGCTAAGACAATAGTCCAGCATGATCTACCATATTCCTATGTGGAGTATGAAAAGGTGAGAGACACTTGGAAGTATCTGAATGATGATGTCCAATTCATTTATCAAAACACGGCGAAGTCTGATGTGTTTCGCTTGTATGAAAGCGAGAGAGATACGCTGAAGAGGGAATTGTCAAGTCTTCTTGGAAGAGTTTTCTTGACATCTGATGTGTGGACGTCTCTTAAGCGAGAGGGTTATATGTGTGTGACTGCGCATTACATTGATCGGAATTGGAAGTTAAACTCCAAAATTTTGGCGTTTTGTTCTATACCACCACCACATAATGGTATGCAAGTTGTGACACAGCTCCTTGAATCACTGCAAGAGTGGGATATTGAAAAAAGTTGTTCTCTCTCACATTAGATAATGCTACGAGTAATGACTCGATGCAAGATATTGTCAAATCGCAGCTGATGTTGAGGGATGACTTGTTGTGTGCCGGAGAGTTTTTTCATGTCAGATGTGCAGCTCACATACTTAACCTCATAGTGCAAGATGTTTTGAAGGTTATTAAAGAGTCTTTGCACAAAGTAAGAGAGAGCGTTAAGTATGTAACAGCATCGGAAACGCGTGAAGTATTGTTCGCAAAATGTGTGGCTGCTGCGAAAATAAATGAAGATGCGGGTCTGATATTAGATGTTTCAACAAGATGGAATTCTACATACTATATGCTTGACAGAGCCATCAAGTATCGAAAGACATTCATTCAGTTGGAGACATTTGATAAGAGAGGTTATAAAATGGCACCTACAGTTGAGGAATGGACACGAGTTGAGAAGATAAGCTGTTTTTTTGGGGCCTTTTGCTGAGATCACACGTTTGATGTCAGGTTTGCATTACCCGACTTCGAACTTGTATTTCTATCAGGTCTGGATGATTCATGATTGGCTTCAGATGCCTAAAGAAAGCGAAGATGAGATTATTAGAGACATGGTGCCACCGATGAAAGAGAAGTTTGATAAGTATTGGAAAGAAGTTAGTGGAGTTTTTGCAATGGCAGCAATCTTTGATCCACGTTTTAAGCTCTCAATTGTCGAATATTGCTTAGGCAAGCTTGACATGAGCACACGTGATGCAAAATTGAAGAACTTGTGCACAAATCTTGGTACTCTTTTTGAGTCTTATGACAAAAAATCCAAGACAAATTCACCTTCTACAGAGCCACGCCAGACGGTTCCACAGGAAACTTGTGGTGAAGGATCTATGGGAATGTTTGGGAACTATGATGTGAGTGTTTTCTTCCACTTTTTTGCATTCTATTTAATTTTTTTTTAAATAATTATTTTGAGCCATTTTAGGATTTCTTTGCATTTCGTAAAGTCAGTGGCGTTGCGAGTGGAAAGACAGCTCTAGAAGCTTATCTTGATGAGCCAGCTTTGGAATTTGAAAATTTCCGGAGCATGAACATTCTTGACTTCTGGAAAGATAATGCTCATAGATATGGTGATCTTGCTGCAATGGCTTGTGATCTTCTAAGTATTCCTATCACAACAATGGCTTCAGAATTCTCTTTTTAGCATTGGATAGCGAGTCCTTAATAAATACAAGAGTCGTTTGCTTCCAAAGAATGTGCAAGCTCTGATATGTACAAGGAATTGGATCAAAGGATATGAAGCTTATGAACATGGTAAATGATTCATTACTATATCAGATTCGACACTATGACCATTAAGAGTAATTAACTTCAGTTATTGATATTTTTCAGAAGGTGAAATTGATGGCGAAGAAGGGACATTACCATCTTTTGAATCTATTTTCGATGGAGAAGACGAAGAAGAAGAGGCTTGAATTTGTTATTTTGATTTGGTGTTTTGCTCTTATTAACATTTGATATTTGTTTGTTTGGATTTGGTTTTTATTTACACTTGGGATTTCATTGTTTAACTTTGGTGTTTCATTTATTTATATTTTGTTAAGACTAAATTTGGTGTTTTATTTTACATGTGCATGTTTGTTCTTTTGGTGATAGTCTATCGAGTAATGAAGCATGATAAATTGTAAACATGTTGTTTAGGGCTAGTGTTGTTAATACAAAAATGTCTTCCAAGTTCCAATTCCGGTTGTTAATACCAAAGAGTCTTCCATGCATGATAAATTCTAAACATTTTGTTCCTTTGGTGTTAATCAACGTGTTGTTCTTGTTTTAAGCATGTGTTGTTTTGCATTGTAGGTGAAGAGTTCCAATTCCGGTACATTGCTTCCCAAGCAACAACCAAACAACAAAACAAGGTCTGAAAGCCAAATCTGGATCATCATCACTTCAAGTCCCGCTGGCTGACCCGCGAAGTCCCATCAAGCTTGCAGGGCGGGTTTGGTCATATGTTCTTTGCACCGCGGGTCATTGCGGGACGGCCCGCAGGGGACCACCGGAAATGGAGACCGCGGCGGGGCGGGTCTGTGCGGGGCGGGTGGTACCAATTGCCATCACTACCTACACCCTAAATTTGTTCATAGATTAGCAAAGGAAATATGCCAACCCAAAGAGAAGCAAGCCCACCAACACTTAGGTGGTGAATATGTGGTTTTTGAAATAGCTTTTGGTTTGTTTTTTCAAAAGCTATTTTTCATCCAATCAAGATTAGATTTTAGTTTTT